GAGCTCGCGATTGAGCTCGGCACATTTCCCGCTGAGGCTGAGCCTCATGGTCGAGCTTGCTGTTATTATTTTCGGTGCCGAGGTCGTGTTTGATCTCGGCACTTGCTCGTCACCGGGGTGATGCGATGTTTTCATGGGGTGCCGACCAAGTCATCGTACTGATCCTGGCCGACGCCGATCCCTGTGTTTTTATGAGGTGCCGACCAGGTCATCGTGCTGATCCTGGCCGACGCCGATCCTTACGTTTTTATGAGGTGCCGACCAGGTCATCGTACTGATCCTGGCCGACACCGATCCTTACGTTTTTATGAGGTGCCGACCAAGTCATCGTGCTGATCCTGGCCGACACCGATCCTTACGTTTTTATGAGGTGCCGACCAGGTCATCGTACTGATCCCGGCCGTCACCGATCCTTATGTTTTTTATGAGGTGCCGACCAGGTCATCGTACTGATCCTTGCCGACACCGATCCTATTGTAAATAATAAAAGGGGAAATTACATTTTTTCAACGTGTTCTTCATTACTTCATTACAAGACGTATGGGGGGTTACAATAGATCGATCTAGGCCTACTGGTAAAACTTCTTCAGAAACGCCGAGTTCCAAGGGTATTGGTGGGGAGTGCCGTCGAGATGTTCGAGGCGATAGGCCCCGTGAGGGAGGAGTTCGCGGATTTTATATGGCCCTTCCCACTTCGGCTTGAGGGGCCCGGGATCGGGCCCCGTCACCCTTTTGAGCACCAAGTCGCCGACCTGATACGAGCAAGGTTTGACCTGAGAGTTGATGTATCTTTCGCTCCGTCTCTTGTACGCCGCATTTTTCAGTTCGGCCTGCGTCCTGTGCTCGTCAATCAGATCCAGGTTGGCTCTCAGTGACTCAGAATTGGATTCTTCCTCGAAGTTGGTTACTCGAAACGTTGGGGTGCCGAGCTCGACTGGTATCATGGCTTCAGACCCGTATGCCAGTGAGAACGGCGTTTCGCCAGTGGACGATCTGGCCGTTGTGCGGTAGGCCCAGAGTACACCCGAAAGTTCTTCCGGCCAGGCCCCTTTCGCGGCTTCAATCCGGACCTTAAGCCCTTGTTTGATTATTCTGTTTACTGCCTCGACCTGGCCGTTGGACTGAGGGTGATAGGGTGTCGAGAAGAAGTGTTTGATGCGGTGTTCTTCGCAGAACGACTCCAGCTTCTTTCCTTCAAATTGTTTGCCATTATCGGTGATGATTGAGTTTGGTACCCCGAAACGGCATATGATGGACTTCCATAAGAAATCTATCATTTTCTGTTCTGTTATGGTAGCAAGCGGTTCGGCTTCCGCCCACTTCGTGAAATAATCCACTGCGACCACCGCGTATTTCACCCCGCCTTTTCCGGTAGGGAGGGGGCCGATTAGGTCGACACCCCATCTGGCGAATGGCCACGGGCTGAGGATCGATTTTAGGGGCTGCGACGGCTGGATGATGTTGGGTGCGAAGGTTTGGCATTTCGCATATCTCCGGGCCAGGTCGAGGGCGTCCTTCTTCAGATTCGGCCAATAATAACCTTGTCTAAGGACCTTGTGTGCGAGGGCGTGCCCCCCTGAATGATTCCCGCATACGCCCTCATGGATTTCTTTGAGTATGTACTCGGCGTTTCCTTCATCCACGCACTTGAGCAAGGGTGCCGAGTAGCCCCGTTTGAACAGCTCTCCGGCTACGATCGTGAACCGGGCTGCCCGGGTGCGAAGCTGCCTGGCCTCTTTTGGATCCGGCGGCAACGCACCGGTTTCGAGATATGAACGGATCGGGTCTATCCAACCCGGATTTTGGTCTTCCATCGCCTGCTCGGCACTTAGCACAGAAATGCCGAACACGGACGGCTGCTCATTGTGTCCGACCTGGACATACTCGACGCATTCCACCCCGGCACTTGAGGCGAGACGGGCCAGGGCGTCAGCTTGTACGTTCTCTACTCGAGGGATATGTTCTATTTTAGCCCGAATTTTGGCTAGCTTCTTCTTTACCAGCCCCAGGTATGGGACCAATCTCGGTTCCTTTACCTCGAACTCCCCGGATATCTGCTTAACCATCAGCATGGAATCTGAGTATATGATGAGGTCGGTTAGACTCATGGCTTCTGCCAAGGCGAGCCCTGATAGCAATGACTCATATTCGGCTTCATTGTTGGTTGCCGGGAAGAGGTACTGTATTGAGTGGCAAAAGAGCTTCTTGTGGGGATCCACGAGGACGACTCCCCCGCCTGCTCGTCCGGCAGTGGAGGATCCATCCACGTACATCACCCAAGGTTGCTCGCTCGTTTCTCTGAGTCCCGGCGTGAATTCGGCTATGAAGTCCGATAGTACCTGCCCCTTCATGGCTGTTCGGGGTCGGTAATGGATGTCGTACTGACCCAACTCCACCGCCCACTTCACCATCCGGCCTGATGTGTCAGGCCGGTGAAGGATCTGCCTTAGCGGATAGGCGGTGAGCACGGTTATCGAATATTCGAGAAAATATGGCCTTAACTTTCGCGCGGAGATCACTAAGGCGAACGCGAGTTTTTCCATCGGCGGATATCGCAGCTCGGTATCATGAAGTGCCTTGCTGACGTAGTAGACAGGGTGTTGGGAAGACCCGTCCTCCCGGATGAGGGCGGCACTGACCGCAACATCGGAAACTCCTAAGTAAAGGAAAAGCATTTCTCCAGGTCGAGGTTTTTGCATGGTTGGGGCCCGGCTCAGGGTCTCTTTGATCGCTTCCAATTCTTGTTGGCATTCCTGAGTCCATTCGAACTTGTGGTTCTTTTTGATTGCGTCGAAGAACGGTTTACACCGGTCTGTCGACTTTGAAATGAATCGGCTGAGGGCGGCGAGCTTGCCGGTCAGACTTTGTACCCCTTTGATTGAGGTCGGCGGTTGGAGGTCCTGGATGGCCTTGATCTTTTCGGGATTGGCGTCAATGCCGCGCTGGCTAACGATGTATCACAGGAATTTTCCCGAGCCGACGCCGAAAGTACACTTTTTAGGGTTTAATTTCATGTTGTAATCACGCAAAATAGAAAACATTTTATTGAGATCGTTTACATGGTCGGACGCATACACCGATTTGACTAACATGTCATCTACATACACTTCCATACTAACACCTATCAAACTAGCAAACATCTTGTTGACTAAGCGCTGGTATGTGGCCCCGGCATTCTTCAATCCGAACGACATCATGGTGTAGCAGTAGAGTCCTCGTGCCGAATAGAAGGAGGTGTGTTCGGCGTCATCCGGGTGCATCGGGATCTGGTTATATCCGGAATATGCGTCCATGAAGCTCATTAGTTCGTGCCCAGAGGTGGCGTCCACCATGTAATCAATGTGGGGCAAGGGGTAGCTGTCTTTGGGGCAAGCCTTGTTGAGGTCGGAGAAGTCGATGCAAAGACGCCATGCCCCACTGGCCTTTCTAACCAGCACCGGGTTGGCAACCCAAGTTGGGTACCGGACTTCTTGGATATAATCATTGTCCTTGAGCTTGATCACCTCTTCTTCGAGGGCTTGCTGTCGGTCTGGCCCCAGCTTCCTTCTCTTCTGGACGACCGGCCTGACCGTGGGGTCGACCTGCAGCCTATGACAGGCGACCTTCGGGTCAATGCCGACCATGTCTTCGTGGGTCCACGCGAACACGTCCGCGTTCTCCCGAAGGAAACTTACTAGCTCGGCCTTCAATGGCGCTGGCAGTTTGCTGCCAATCCGAAGTTGCTTCTGGCAGGTCTCCTCATCGATGAATATGATTTCGACCTCGTCCATGGGCTCGGCCCGTTTTGTGCCCCTCTTTTCTTCGTATTGGGTTCGCGGGTCGAGCTCATCTTCTTCCGACATCGGTTCCTTTCCTGCTCTTCGACCTCTATCCTGGTCCAGGTCGGGCTCGGCCCCTTGTTCCTTCTCGGCATTCGTGCCGGCCTGGGGGAGCGGACCTATCTGGATTTCCAGTGGGTGGTCGCTTCCCATGCCGGGGTGAACCACCTCGACATCTGCTTCACCTTCCACCTCGGTGCTTCCAACAACCTGTCCGGCACTTTGCATGATCGGGGGCGAACCTGTCTGGTTTCCCAGCATGCGGTTGCCCTTTTCCTCTTCGCGGGGCTCGGCCATATTCGTCCCGGCTTCAGGGTAGGAATTTTCCGCATTGATTTCCGCTCGGGGGATAGTCAAGACGCATTCCCGCGCTTCTCTCTGGTCTCCCCGATGAGTCCCCTCCCCGTCCGAAGTCGGGAACTTGATGGAATAATGGAAAATTGAGACGGCTCCCCTCAGCTTGTAAAGAGCCGTTCTGCCCAGGATGGCGTTGTACTCGCTCGGGCAGTCCACTATCTTGAAGGTTTCCAGAATCGTTCGCGTGGGCTGCCCCTTCTCCCCGAACCTGACCGGCAGTGTTACCTGACCAACAGGGGTCGTCATGTGGCCGTTGAACCCCTGGATCTGCTCCCGGCAAGGTTTCACCTCCTTCCTGTCAATCCCCATTTTTTTGAACGTACTGTAGTACAAGATGCTCGCATAGGCCCCGGTGTCGACCATTATTCGGTGGATCTTGATTGCCATTAGCGGGGCCGTGATCACCAGGGCGTCCGAGTGAGGATGGTCGAACAGGAATGCATCCTCATCAGTGAAGGATATTTTATTGGGCGTCGGCTCAGTCGCCGGTCTGCTTCCAGTGTGCATCACTCTCTGCCCGGCATAGTAAGCCTGTCGGGCATAGGCCTTTGTCTGCCTCCTCGAAGAGAGGGATTGTCCCCGGCTCGTGTTCATGCGTCGGGGTGAAAGATCAGTCTGGTCGGTGCCCGGTCGTGGGGATCGATCTCTCTTTCTTCCCGCGGAGGTGCCGGACTCACCTTGGTGGGCCGGGCTAAACATTAGGATTTCGTTGGGCGCGCCTTGCTGCAGCTTTTTCCTCCGGGGGTTCATGTCGGCATCTTCATCACTATCGAGGCCGTCTCCGAAGCTGCCTCCTTTCTTCCTCTTCTCGCCAGGGCTAGTGACCTTTTTGACTTGCGGGTCATCTATCAACTTGAGCAGCGCCGCGATCAAGTTTCGGCATTGATCTGTGTTATGTCCGTGTGCCTTGTGGTAGGCGCAATATCGGGACTTGTCCACATTGTTAGTGTCGGTGAACATGGGCTTTGGATCCGGTAGTAAGCCCTTCGTTTTGATTTCTTCGTAGACCGCGGCGGCGCCCACGGAGAAGACGCCCTGGTAGCTTTCCTTGAGCTCCTCCGCTCTTTGCTTCCTCATGGCCAGCACCTCGGCAAACAACTTGTCGGGCTTCCCTGACTTGTCTTTATTTTTGTCCTTGCCCGACGTGGCGTCCAACACCGGGATGGACGAAGATTTTTCGGCCATTATATAGTTTTGGGCTTTGACGAGGAATTCCTGGTAGGTGGCGGGCTTGTTCTGGCACAAGGACCATTTAAACAGGGTTTTCGGCCTCAGCCCGGCCTGCACAGAGACGAGTAAAGTCTCGGGATGACACTGCTCCATATTTTGAACCCGGTCGTTAAACCGGGCGATATAGTCCTTCAGGCTCTCGTCCTCGCCTTGGACGATGTTGGCGATTGATTCCTTGGGGGCCAAGCTAATTTGCGATCCGATGAAGTGTGATCGGAACGCCGACCGGAGCTGGCCCCAAGTGCAGATAGAGTGCGGGTACAAATAATGGTACCATCTCTGCTCCTTTGGTCCCAGGGTCAGGGAAAACATGCGACAGCGTAAGGCGTCTGTCGCGCCGTGCAGGTCCATCCATGAGGTGTAAAGGCCGATGTGGGAGTCGGGATCCGAGTTTCCATCGTAAAGTCCGAGCTGCGGCACCTTGATTTTCTGAGGTACGGGCTCGCGCAGGATGTCAGGAGAGAGAGGGGAGGCGTGGTCCACGACACGTGGAGCGGGTTGTGAGGAGTGAAGAGGCGATGTGCCCCTTAGGGGAGAGCGCCGACCTTCCAATTCGGCGATTCTGCGCTTGAGGGCCGCGACTTCGTCCGCGTCGCGCCCAATGTTTTTGCCTCGCTCAATCACGTCCCGGAGGTCGCGGTTGGCCTGGGTTTTGCCACCCAAGCGCTGGTACACGGAGCGACGTATGACCTGGAGGCTCCGATCTGGCTGGCTTTCGCCAGTCTGTTCAGTGGGCGCCGGCCTGGCGTTTTTCTCGCGCCGGGCTTGGGCAGTGCGATTGGGCGACTGAGCTGTCGTTTTGGATTTAGCAGGTTTTTTATGTTGCCCTCCGACCTCCTTGTCAGGGGTTTGGAGCAGGGTGTTGACGGGGTTTTCCGTGGCTGCCACGGTGTTCCCCCCGGGTGCCTGGCTCGCGAGGGCCTTGGCGAAGACTCCTTCCAGGGCTTTGAGGACGTCCGGATGCTGCATGGCGGCTGCAAAAGTGGGGACAGGAGGTACGGGAGCTTGGGTCCCTTGCTGGTTGCGGCGAGAGGTTTCTTCGCCGTTGCGCCGGCGAGACTGGGCGCCGGACTGCTGGGTTGACTCGTCGCGGCTGGATGAGGCCATCTTGGACGGGATTCGAAGCGAACGGAGACGAGCGGGTATGGGATTTCACAAGATCGAATAGTTGACACCAAGTAACTTATGGTCCCCTTCCTCTAGCGCCAAACTGTTGACGAGCGTTTTCGGTCAACGGTTAAAAATAAAGAAAGTCGAAAGCAAGACTGAAAATGGGAGAATGTTGCGGTTTAATTACGATTTTATTAAACGATCACGAGGTCGGCCTCTCGTACGAGGTCGGC